GACTATTTATGGGAATAAAGACTTCGGAATATGTTTCACGTATTTCTATATCTTGTGCGCGGATTATAGCCCAGACTCTCACCGCTGAAGTACTCGGCCGGAGGTCTCACCCAATGAGTGATCTCTTAATTGGTCTCATAACAGCTGCGAAGACAACACAACACCAAAACCAACACCACATGCACTCCACTATCAACTCACAGATCACCTTGTAGATTTTATATTATATAGAGCATTAGATTTTAAACCAACTATTTTAGGTTGAATTTTAGGATTTGTTAAATTTATATTAGTTATCGAAAAACTATACCAAAATGTTCGCAAAACATTGAAAATTTGTGTGCATATCACAAAATATTTTTATAATTTATACACTGATTATACTATTGATGCAACTGCACCAAGGTTCAATGTTCCTTCTACAGAAAATGAGTTATTTTTAAGTGTGAAGTCAATACACATTTGATAACTATGTGAATACCAGTACAGATATATTATAGTTGCAATGAATTGATGGTTGATTATTCTTGATATTCTACCATTTATTATAGCATATTCCCTATTATAAAGTACAATAAAGTTTTCAATTCAGAAAATTCTTGATTATAAATTATTCCTGATAAGCACTTTCTCTCACATAATCAGCTTTTTTAAGTCAAACAATTCATTTTAATTGACAAAAACACATGTAATTTATATATAATTATGTTTTTCCCTCTCTTTTAAAGCCTTTAATTTATTTAATTTTTAACGACATTTGAGAAAGGTACATTCATTTCCAAGACATCGCTGATATATCAAGATTATCGATAGTATCTAAAATACACATTAAAAGTTTATTAGCATTAAGTACAGATTGCGAGTTTTAATGAGTATTTTAGATGCTATCGATATTCTTGATATATCAGCGATGTCTTGGAAATGAATGTGCCTGTCTCATTTGAAAAGTAATTAAATTATTAATGAATAAAAAGCTTTTAAGAATTGGTTTTCATATCCAAGTCGTTGTGTTGAGCGGACGAGTGGTTTGAATCGTCGGTTGTTTTGTTTGATTGCTGGAAGTCCTCAAGACTTTTGTCTTATTTATCGGGTTTGATGTCTGTTTTGATGTCTCGTTTATCTCTCAAGAACTCCACGTATTGTCGCGTGTTTTCGATGGCCTTTGCGTTGATCTCTTCGTAGAAGTCTTTGAGCCGATCCTTCACTCCGTCCATCCATTTGCAAGCATTCATCCAACGGCTCAACGGGTAGTCCGTGGCCTCCAGTAGTGACAGACCGGCGATGATCGAGATGTCGGCCAAAGACAGGTCGTCACCGCAGAGGAACCGCTCTTTGGCTACCATTGAGTCGAATAAGTCGAGCGTTTCCTTCAGTTTGTCTTCTTTGAGGCCATCCATGGCTTTGCCGAAGAATAAGGGACTCTAGTTGTGGATCAGATGTGTGTGAATGAGAGGGATTGGTAGGGAAATTGATGACAGAATTAGTGATAACTCACCACATAATCAGAAATACTTCGGTAAAGAGATCCCAAATCAAACTGAAGAAGTCTGTCGATCGTGGCTCTGGTCCGGGGGTCCGACGGGTATAAGGCATGTGAGGGTCGGTACCGTTCGCCGCAGAGGAACCGCTCTTTGGCTGCCATTGAGTCGAATAAGTCGAGCGTTTCCTTCAGTTTGTCTTCTTTGAGGCCATCCATGGCTTTGCCGAAGAATATGGGACTCTATGTGTGGATCAGATGTGTGTGAATGCGAGGGATTGGTAGGGAAATGGATGTCTGAATGAGTGATAACTCACCACATAATCAGAAATACTTCGGTAAAGAGATCCCAAATCAAACTGAAGAAGTCTGTCGATCGTGGCTCTGGTCCGGGGGTCCGACGGGTATAAGGCATGTGAGGGTCGGTACCGGTTAACCAGGTTTTTTAATGAGTATTTCAGATGCTATCGATATTCTTGATTTATCAGCGATGTCTTGGAAATGAATGTGCCTGTCTCATTTGAAAAATAATTATATTATTAATGAATAAAAAGTTTTTAAGAATTGGTTTTCATATCCGAGTCGTTGTATTGAGTGACGAGTGGTTTGAATCGTCGGTTGTTTTGTTTGTTTGCTGGAAGTCCTCAAGACTTGTGGTCAGTATTGAAGACTTTTGTTTTATTTATCGGTTTTGATGTCTGTTTTGATGTCTCGTTTGTCTCTCAAGAACTCCACGTATTGTCGCGTGTTTTCGATGGCCTTTGCGTTTAGTGGGAAACATCGTTAGATGAAATTAAAAGAATTATGGCATATAATT